TAGCAGTGAGAGCCTGTTTCTCTCCCCCATTGCGGAGGATGGGGGAGAGAAACAGACTCTGTCTGTCTGACATCTCTCAGGCGAATGGAGTTGAAAGCAGCGCAGCCCCGAGTTCTGAAGGAATTGGGGGACGAGAGCTGATGAGCGGCATGCTGTTCTCTCATCTCAGGGTTTTCAGCGGAATTAAAGCCAAACTGAACATTCCCACGGAGCGTGTAGTTAGTGCAGGCTGGAAACAAACCATTCTCACCCAGCTCCCTACAAAGCGGAGAGGGACTGGGGGCGTGGTGCTGCTGCGGGGAGCAGATGGCGATTTGTAGGAACGTTTCTCTCCAGCAAGGGCTCAGCGATTTACTAAGAATCTAGTACGGTTTTCGGGCTTTTTGTTTTGGATTGAGATTTTAAAAACAGATGCTCCGTTCAATGTAGTGAAAGGGAAGGAGGGGGGGGGGCCGGGGGGGTTGTTCAGGCTGGCCCTTCCCAAAAAGGAACTCCAGAATCACAATGAGGAACTCACCCGGGCTGTTTCTACCTGTGCTTTGTAATGTGGCAGCTCCTGTATGCAATCTCGGGCTGGGGGAGGTGGGGGGTAGAGGGGGGGATCTCTGTTTATCGGACAGAGAAACAGCATTTCATTCTGTACCATCAGCGAAGGGAGGAGAGGAAGTCTGATGCTGGTCTTTGAGTCTGCCTGAAATATTCACATTCTCATGTCTATCTGTCGGAAGCAGCTGCAGTGATCAGTCTGTGTTTCACTGTGTAGTCAGAGCAAACTCGCAACAAGAGCTGCTGCTGCACGCTCAGATATTATCAGGGAGTTAGGGAGATGGTCCCCAATAGAGAGAAAGCTCTGGTGCGTTTGGGAAGAGCTGGAACTGGGTTTAGGCATTTCAAACACTCTGGTTTTCCTGTGGAAGGAGATTGTTCTGGCCGGAGAGGGGGGGGGGGGGGGGCGGGGGACGATAGAAAGCTGGGACTGACGTGTTCAGATTGGGGTGCAGACAGGAATTGTTCTCAGTGCTGAAGAGACCTTGGTGGAGGTGGTGTTTAATTACAGTTGGTGCCTGTGGAAGTTAGAAGTGCAAATTTGTGATCTGTCAGAGCAGGAATGAAATTGAGGCCATTGGGATGGTGGCAGGCAGATCGCAGAGCTGGGCATGATTTTGTGATTGTTGTGAAGGGATTGTTCCAGCTGTTTTTTGGGATGTATCACCCCTGAGCCTTGTGCTAAACTAATGAGAGAGTTTTAGGGAAATCTTCACCATTTCTGAGTTGTTATTTCACACAGCAGCTTGCTCTGAATATTTCACATGAGTTTTTTTTGTTGATCCTTGGCGGCAAGTTTTAGAGATCAGCTGGAGATCTGAATCCAAAATAATGGCGTGTCGTGTATAAGTACCAAGTAAAAGTTGCGAGCAGTTTAGCAGTGGAAGGGATTCATACAGAATGACTGCTTTCTCTTCTTCAAACCTAAAAAGCATTGTGCATTTTAACCATTTGTCATGCTGTTTTAATACAGTGGATTGTTTAAATATTTTCAATAGATCGGCTATTTAACTAGGATATAATTACGGGCAGATATTTCATAAGCTTGCATGTGTAAGAAAATTTTTAAATGTTTAAAAAAAATCTCGCTGTGTAAACCATTGGAAATGTATATGAAATGAATGAGTGGCTATTAAAACAATCCATGCAAGATGAGACCGCTTGATACTTGTGACATTGCGAAGAAAATTAACTTTTGAATGATAAGTTATTCTACGATAAACGAAATAGTTAGTTGTGTTTCTAATAAATCAGATTGCATAGTGGATTCTCTGACTGTAGCGAGCTGGCGTTTTCAGTTGGGTTTAAAGCTATGCATTCCTCCACGTTCAGCTTAAATTCAATTCCCTCTGGTTACGGTGAAATAATAGGAGCACCTGGATTTTCATATCTTAAGATCTCTTTTGAAGAAAGGTCATTGTTTTATTTGTGTTATTGATTATGAATGCAGCTATTTAATGTTACTGGCAATATCGAGTATCAGATTTGAGATGGTGCTGGGATGTTGGCCTGAGGCTGAGTGAATTGTATAACCAAGCTTTAGGTGATGCTTGATGAGCAAGCACCAGAGGCAGCAATAGCTCCAGGGTTAGTGCTGTCACTCTGCCAGGGCATTGCACTGAGATACAGTCCTGCATAATAATTGACTGGATGTCTTTTCCCCCAGCTCAGGCCATTACTGTGCAATCACTCAACATCTAACCTTGTTGGAGACTTTCTGTCACTTTTTATTGGCTCTAATTGCTTAATCTCAATTATCAAGTAAAGGTCAGTGTCCTGAAAACCAATTTAACCCAGTACAGCGCTGTCATTTAACATGAGGAAATAAAGTTACCGTTAGAGGAGTGCAGAAAGATCTTACAGAAGTGATTTTTAAAGCTATTGCAGTATAAAGCCGCAAATACAGTATTCTCATCAGGTTTAATAATCGTTATTATCATTCCTCAATAATGTCTCTGAAAATAGTTAAACACCAACATGCACATTTGTTCTGACAATAATTAAATCATTTGAACAACAATTTGAAAAATGTTTGGTGTTTTACAATAATGCAAAATATGCTACAGAGATTTTGAGAAGTCTGACAATCCCTTGTATATTACAAACACATTCAATGCCCTCACTATTTCCTGTGTTTCATATTTGAATGAAGAGGCACAATGACTGTGATCATCTGACTTTATCACTATTACAAACTGCTTTTAGCATAATTACTAATACAAATGAATTTAAGTTTATAACTGAACATGTGATCTTAGCAAGTTGGCATGATTATCGAGCTACTTGTAGAATGGGTTTGGAATCTGTTTTCCAAAGAACTTCTTCCAGGTGTGCTGTAAAACCTTGTTCTAGTGGTCACCTTGTAAAGTGTACAGGTTTTCCCAAATCAGGTTTTTAGTTTATTCGCAGATCAACAGTTGTCACATGCTTTTATTCAATATGTGTGAAAGCACTTTCAGATGTTTTCTGGAGATGAGAAGATGTGATTTTAATGAAATTCTGTTTGCGTATATGCATTAAAAGCCACCATTGTTACGGGAATGCAGACATGAGTCCCATGCAAGTTTGCTGGATGACTGGCAAGAGAAATGCTGGGAAAACTTTTGATTCAGATTTTAATATAAATTTGATATTCAAATTAATTTACAAAAGTTTGTTGCTGTGCGTATTTTATTTGAAACCTCCCTGTGATAGGATGTCATGATAAATAATGATGTACATAATAAATAGATGCACAGAAAGTCATAACAATCTCCCTTGTGTCTCATCCCATTCTGTTGTGGTGTTGAGTGGTAATCTAGCTGTGGAACAATTAGTATTCTTGCTTAAACTTACAAAAATTATTTATGAATTGCTTCTAATCAGACATCAACTGTTGCAAAATTGCTGGTGTTCCTTGCAGTATGAGTGAAATGGCACACAGCTGCTCATGTATTACTAGCTCCACAGTTGGTGACAAGAATCATCTGTCTGGGGTCTCATTGGCAATGTATTAGCTGTGAAAAGGAGTTACTCCCGGTGCAGAGATAACACAGTGTGAAACTGGAAGAACACAGCATGCCAGGCAGCATCAGAGGAGCAGGAAAGTTGACGTTTCGGGTCAGGACCCTTCTTCAGAAATTCTTGTTCATATTTGCAGCCCTGTGTATTCTTTCTACACAAACTGACGTGGTCCGATTTTGACTGAGAATTTCACTTTGTGCTGATATTCAGTAGCAACTGTGTGGTGGATTTTCAGGGACACATGCTGCAAAGGATGATTGACCATCCCAATACTCTTCCAGCCGATCAGGCTGAAGTGAACCAATGGCTTTGGTCCTATTTGACTAACTTGTAAAATTGGGATCAAGTAAACCATTCAGATCAAAATTTTCTCAAAACTAAATAAAAGAAAAATGATTTTCATTAATGTATGTGCCTCTTGTGCATACCAGCACTTATCATTTATCAGAACTTATCATTTATCAGCACCTCGAGACACATTTCTGACCCCACCACCGATTGAAAAGCAAAACCAAAGTGTCAGGAAATTATTGTGCCATAGGAGCATTCTCCCAAAGTTTCACTTGCCCCCTTCTGCTGTGCACACCGACATTCCCCAAATGGGAAATTATATTTGACAAAGTAATTGGAGTTATTTGAGAATGTATCTAGTGGAATAGATAAAGTTGAACCAGCAGATGTAGTACACCTGGATTTCCAAAACGTATTTGATAAAGTACCACAAAAGATGAAAAGTCTTGGAGTTGAAAGTGTGATACATTATACAAACTGAGGATTGGTTAATGGGCAGAAAGTAAAGATAGGGATGAATGGGGTATTTTCAAGTTGGTTGACTGCTTAGTGAAGAGCTGCAAGGTTTAGTGCTGGAGCCTCTGCAATTTACGATTAATATTAAGTGCTTAGACAAAGCAACAGAATCATGTATCAAAATTTTCTGACAATACCAAATTAGATGGGAATGCACGCTGTGGGCTGAACACTGGCTACTTAGAAATTGAGAGAAGTGTTTGGACAACCAGTTGTTGGATGGAGCAAAATATGAAGATATCCTGTTCTGTTCACTTTAAGAATTGACGTGTAGAATACGGTAATTGCTTGCTTAATGTGTTTTTTGCTTTCCTGAAAAGTTGAAATAATGCTAAGCAAACCAGACTTTTTCATTACGACCAATATAAAAGGTGTAGGTGGGTTCTATAGGACCCACGTTGTCAGTGAAGAATATGAACATTCAACCCTGCCGGTTGAAGTACATTGCTAATGTGCTTTACGTGGAAATTAATTTTTAAAAAATGCTGTTATTTTGAAAGAAATATGCTGACTTGTTCTACTAACCGCCTGTTGGTTCCTTCCACCTCCACCCCTGGTGTCACACGTCCTGCTCTCTTATCGATCCTCCCAGTTGCTGCTGATTCATCCTCTCCCCAAATGTATTTACCCCTCGTCTTGTTTCTTACCTTTTTTTGAATCCTTGCTATGAACAAGGACTCAGAAGATGCACAGCGAGGAGTCAGAAAGATCAGCAAGCTACAGGTTTAACGATACAGAGAAGTCTCTCCAAAATGCTGCTGATCAGACCGTGACATCCAATATTAGATCCAGTGCAAAATAACATTTTAAAAAAAAACTCCTAACACTATTTTTAAATAATAAGCTCATTAACAGTGTGAGGTCAAAATGAAATGACTTCATGAGGATTTATAGTACATCGCATGGTGTCAAACTTGTAAACGTTGATGTTCAGAGTGTCCTGGATTTCTTGCAGAAAGAAAGCAAAGCTGCATACAGATGCTGTAAGCAATTAGGAAAGCAAATAGAATGTTTGTCTTTACTACAAGGGATTGGAGTATAAGTATAAAGAGATCTTGGAATAATTCTACTGAGAATTTAGTTTTCACATTTTGAGGAAAGATATATTTGCATTGGGTGATTGCCTTGAATATCAGAGCAGACTCAATGATATTCATTTTATTCAGCTTCAAAACTACTCAAGACCCACCTTAATCCTATTA